CTTCGTCACCTTCGAAATGTGCTCGAAGCCATTAGATCGGCCGATCTCACACTCAAGCCTGAGAAATGTCATTTCGGCTACGAAGAATTAAAGTTTCTTGGTCACGTCGTGAGCGCCGTTGGTGTTCGGCCTGATCCTGACAAAACTGCTGCCGTCACCGCTTTTCCACCTCCAACTGACAAGAAAAGTCTTCGACGGTTTCTGGGTCTGTGCGCGTATTACCGGCGCTTTATTGAAAATTTCTCTAACATTGCGGAGCCACTATTACGCCTCACGCGTGATGACGCACCATTTGTCTGGGCTGACGACCAGCAGACTGCCTTTGCGGAACTACAGCACTGGCTCTCTTCCCCTCCCGTGCTCGGCCACTTCGATGAAGCTGCTGACACTGAAGTACACACTGACGCCACCAATATTGGTCTTGGAGCTATTTTGGTACAAAGACAAGATGGCATTGAACAGGTAATAGCCTACGCAAGTCGCACACTGTCTCGCACGGAATATAAGTATTCCACATCAGAAAAAGAATGTCTCGCGGTCATTTGGGCAATTACATAGTTTAGGCGATATCTCGATGGAAGACCATTTAAAGTGGTGACTGACCATCATGCTTTGTGCTGGTTGACCAATCTACGAGACCCTTCAGGACGATTAGCACGATGGAGTCTGCGCCTATAGGAATTTGATGTCACCATCGTGTACAAGTCAGGCAAAAAGCACGAAGACGCCGACACGCTATCACCAGCACCTCTTCAATCCGCCAGTACTAGCGCAGAAGAGGACAGCGCCTTCGTGGCAACTGTCAGCGGACCGGATCTGATGTTTCATCAACGAAATGACGCCGATCTAAGAATGATTATAGATCATTTAGAAGGTGGCACCGCGCCCATTCCTCGTCCAATGTCGCGAACGTTGCCATAATTTTGCCTACGAAATGGCGTCTTATACAAAAGGAACGCCGGTGCTGGTGACAGATATCATCTTCTCGTCGTGCCTAAAGCCCTCCGCGATGACGTCTTATTAGCTTGCCACGACGAGCCCACATCTGGCCATCTGGGCTACTCGAGAACTATGGATCGGGTGCGACAACTCTACTACTGGCCTAAAATGTCTGCCTGTGTCAAACGCTACGTGAAGGGATGCCGTGAATGCCAGTGTCGCAAGACACCACATTTAAAGCGTGCAGGTCATCTGCAACCGATCGATCCACCACGTACACCGTTTGAACAAGTGGGGATGGACCTCCTAGGCCCGTTTCCTTTGTAAATGGATTATTGTCGCGACTGATTATTTGACGCGTTACGCTGAGACGAAGGCGTTGTCACGAGGGATCGCATCTGAAGTTGCCAGTTTTTTTATGCATCAAAATTGTGCTACGGCATGGCACCCCGTCATATGTCATCACTGATCGAGGGACATCATTCACAGCGAAACTCTTGGATGATATCTTCAAGTAGAGTTACACAACCCATCTAAAGACCACTGCGTATCACCCTCAGAGTAATGGTTTAACAGAAAGGCTAAACAAAACGCTAGCCGACATGATCTCTGTGTACGTGGATGTGTAGCACAAAATGTGGGACGACATCCTGCCGTACGTAACATTTGCATATAACACTGCAACGCAGGAAACTACACGCTTCACGCCATTTTGACTCGTTTATGGTCCAGATGTTAGAACTATGCTGGACGCCATGATTCCATATGAGGACATCGACAAGCTCGACCAATTAGCCCCCGACATCAATGAGTACATTCAGCGCGCTGAGGAAGCACGTCAACTGGCCCGTGTGCACATCCAAACTCAACAGTGCACTGATGCACGGCGGTACAACATCCAACATCGAGAAGTTGATTATGAACCTGGTGACCAAGTTTGGGTTTGGACACCCATTAGGCGGCGAGGTCTCAGTGAGAAACTCTTGAGGAAGTACTTTGGACCTTACAAAGTACTCAGATGTGTGAGCGATGTTAACTACGAAGTGGTTCCAGACGGAGGCTCACCATCATCCCAGCGCAGGTTACAACGCCTAGAGACTGTACACGTAGTCTGCCTAAAACCATACTTTACGCGCTGATGCGAATTTTCTTCTTGTGCCAGTGAACTCTTCATGTGAACAGTGAATGCTATTTATTTCCGACTGCCGGGCTAAGGACGCATTTTCTCTCGTGCACTAATTTGTTTAATGTTTTTTTGTGTTACCTACTTCAACCCACTGCTGTGCACACTTTTGTTTGAGCATCGGGTCGATGCTCTCTTGGGAGGAGGAGTAATGCCACCTGGTGTTCTGTGCCAGTGAACAGTGGGTCAGTTCTGTGCCGGTGAACGAGGAAGACGAAGACGAGCAACCCGTGCCAGCGGAGACGTCTTTCTTTGTCTCTGAGATTTTTGACAGTCGCGTCCCTTTATACGTTCCTTCGAGCTCTTAGCGCGTGACAATATGAAGGCTTCTCAATAGAGTTTCCTATAAATACATTAAGTGCTAGTGTCTACAAAAGCTGCAACACACAGCGCTCCAGCAAGCACAAGAATGATGGGTAATACAAAAATTTGTCTTGTCGTTGTACAGTCGAGCCAGCTTATAACGAACCTGAGCCTGACGCGGCATCCGTTCACTGTATCCCAAAGCTCATAGTAAATGAAACACAGCTTTTGAAAAAGTTGTGAATGAAAACACAAACTTTTTTTGCCTAGAAAAATTCGTGATGCACTTGTTTCAAAGAGCAGAAGTGATAAGGGCGGTCTCGAGTTCATTTAAAACGGCAGGGTTCTCGTTCGCCGAGGCTCATGGAATTAGCTGCTTGAGGCACTGGCTCCAAAGTTTCGTTGTTCTCGCAATCCGATTCCTCCAAACTGCTCTCGCCTCATACGTCATTCACAATGCCCTAATCCATGCACGGTTCCGCAGTGTCACCATTACCATCGGCCGGGAATTAACCATCGCAATAGATATGTCCCACCCACTCTCCCCGGTCGGAGGCGACGACGGGCTGCCACAAATCGCTGCCGCAGTGATCCTGTTCGGAAGCTTCGGGCCCGACTTCGAGCTGGACGAAGTCGGCCACTCGAAAATAGTTTCGTGCGCATGTAGCCGTCACTGCCGCCCACGACATATTCACCATCTCCACAGCTAAATACCGGGACCTCCGAAGCGGCAAGTTGGCTGCCAGGTGGTCAACAGCTAAGAGCAAGCCCTCTGCAACGCGGGACCTAACGCGCAGATTACGCTCAAGCCAAACGGTCATGCTTTCGGCCAAACGGTCAACGTTTTGTTGAGCGGCAGGAAAAAGCGTGCAAGTCCTCCCGTCTGCCATCCTGACCACACACGCACACCAAGAGCGAGCAAGACGCGCACACGCGACATACATGCCAGAATGCGTGGAACAGCTCTTGGCACCTTTCTAGTCAAAAAACAAATCTAATTCGTGCCAGCGTGGCTGGCCTCGCGGAGCGGTGGAGACGAATGAAGGGGTTGTGATCAAGAGAGGGGAGCAGATCTGCGAGAGAAAAAGGGCAAGAAGTTACGATAAAGTGAAGAGAAAGGAGGATGCGACGGAAGGGCGACCTTGAAAACCAAAACACACGGGAAGGAGGCAGGTTGGGTAGCTTGCTTGAAAGGTCCGCGAAACACGCACAAAAACTTGAAAGAGTGCCTGCACGCGCAGAAGTCAAAGCATGACCTTTTTGATCAATGCACGCGGAAGTGTTCAAAGAATTCGCGGCCGTGGTCAAAAAATCGATTCGTAGTGCCGGCGGGTTTGCGTGGCATCAGCAACTTCGATATTTTGCGATTTGTTCTAAGCAAATTAACAGCCGTTCTTGTGCTTCTGCAGGCGTGCGGAGGGCATGCTGAGCCGAATAAGTGCGAAGTTAGCGAGAACAAGTCCTATACACGAAACGAATCACAAATTATCAGAGTCGGTGGGGTAGCGTACACGCGTGATAATCTGCGTAGACGCAGATTATCAGATACAGTTGGTGGCTCACGATGTTAGCAAATCGTCTGGTCACTCCAGGCCGGCGACACCAACGACAGTACCAGCGATCGAAAACAGGGTAGATGGCCGACCAATCTTCGAATGATCGGTGGCAGTGTGAAAACACTGGCAGTGTCTGGTGATGCAGAGTGCTCGGAGTAGCGGGGGGGACAAATGACAGAGGGGTGCATAACAAAAATCGATCGGGAAGAGCGGCAACTAAAGGGGCACGAAGGCAGGATCGGCGTTTAACAATAAGGATGTGTGGGCACCTCGCCGATGCCTTATCGGTGGTCAAAAGTGGTTTGCCAGGAAGTCGGCACAGCGCCGACTCTGTTCGCTATAACCGATCAGCGGCGCTTGGAGACGTTCATTGTAAGTGCGATTTTGTGCCATTGAACCAATATATATTTTCACGGTCACACGGAAATTGTTCGTTTTAAGCGAAAGTTCATTTTAAATGGGGCCATTGTATGTGGGCTCACCTGTACTTTCGGCTCTGTTAGGCTTTGCGTGGCTTGGAGCAGCTTTACCACGAAATGACAATCGGCGAATAATCAGCAGTTCCATTTCTCAACCTTAACTTTTTGGGCTCACCGTTTCAAATCGGGTCATGAATTTCACAACGATCCATTCTTTCATTCGTAACAGAACCAAAGCACAGCAATAAACAATGACACAAATGCACTTGAAGACTAGGCAAATTCGAGTACTACCCATCCTTCCCATGGTAGCTGAACAATCGCAGTGCCAGAGCCCCCTCTTGTTAATTTGAGAAAACTCTTCAGCAAGGGTTCTCAAGCATGTTGGTGCCGGGGAATCCTGCTAAGCTACCTTAGGTGCCAAAGAACCCATGCATAGATAATGGAGGTTCCCTAGATCGATCACACACCTCCGGATTGCAATCTAAGTGAAGCGAGTGGCCAAGTGTGAACTTATCAGGCGCAGGGGAGCCTCGAGAAGGGACCTGTCAATACGGATCCCACTTTAGGAACCCCTGCTCTATAGACTTCCCATCTTACCCTCGCTGGGCTTGTGTATGGGTTGCCAGAGATCTTTCCACTGCCACGAGCGGCAAACCAGAGGGCGCACCCGAGGCTGTCATCCAGGACGGTCTCAAGTGGATAGATCAACTTGTGGATGTGGTAGGCACTGAGAGAGAAAAAAGCAAAACTCACAAGCTAGTTAGTGGTCACGGCCCCATGCACTTCTGAGGCCTATCTTATAGATAATGTTGGCCCAGAATCGGTGCTTTGTCAACACCTCTGATTGTCTCTAATCATATTCAATTTACCTTATTAGCCAACACCAGTCAATAGTAGACAATGTCCAATATTAGTCAGAATCATACTATGCGAGTGAACACAGGCCTCAGACAAACCACATACACCCAAACCTAGATAAAAGTAATAGATATAACGAATTATCAATTGTATTAAAGTAAGAAAGCAGCAGCTTTGCCATAAATGAAGTGTTATAAATAATCATTTATGATGACTTGTTGGATATAACGAAGCATTTTCGTGGCAGGTATAAGTTTGTTATAATGAGGTTTGAGTGTATACCCTTGTTTTTTTTTGCTTCTCTGCACTGTTGATAAAATATTTATGCACATGTATTTATCGTCTTGCTATTTCACACAATCTTTTTTATAATTAAATTTGAAAGAATTCCAACTAGCCTTAGGTTAGGGAGTCAGATACATTTCTACAGCCATTATTACATTTTTGTAAATTTTTTGATGTCAGTGAATTCAATTCAACATTCATTAAGAGTTAGGTCCCTTGGACCGCTTATCAAGTCTTAACACTACACTGAAACCTCACTCATACGTTCCCATGTTGCATGACGATGCTTCTCTTAAGACCAATAAGTTGTGCCCAGGTGAAAGCCTTTTAAAAATTATGCATTAAAACCCTCAATTACCTACGCAATTTTAGTGACCCTTACTTTTTCTTGGATTTACCCTGAAAACCTGAACACACATGCATGTACACCGTGCAATGACTTTGCTAAGTTAGACGATATGCTCCGGTGGCGTCCTGCATCATGTGACGATGGAAGTAAGACTTCTTCATGCTGGGATGTGGTACTACGCAGTCCCAACCTCTATAGACCTATTCCATGTTTGTGAACAGCGGTAGGCACGATCGACATACTGAGGCACTTGTAGTGACGTCACGGTGCATAGGCTACGCCCGGCTCAAGGCTCGCCACCGCCCTTTATGATCACATGACAACTGGCAAGGTAGGTGCAAAGCTACCTCTGAGCACAGCACGTCAGAGGGGAGTATCCTGAGGACTTGACTTGCCACCACCTTCAATGCAGCACAAATGCGTTTCGAATGTACTGTCTTTAAAGGAGCCCTGCAACACTTCTTTAAACATGGTCAGAAAACTCTGCCGATCGGTAGTAGAGGCTCCCAAGAACCTGTGAGCCAAATATTATAGCACAGCACACAGCCTGCAATTCACAATAAATTGTAGAAGTAAGCTGAAAATCGCTTTCTCTTTTCTCGACGAATGACGGTGGAAGCTCATAAATAACTCATACAAGGCCTTCTATCAGCAATTGGCTGATTCGAACATGGCGCGCTTGGTCGTTACAGAGATCGCAGCAGGAGGCCACGACTTGTCCACACGTGCGCGTGTAATCAAGCTGAAAAAGTTGCGTATTCGGAAAAAAAAAAAGAAAGAGAAAAAAAGGTACTCAAGGTCACGAGGTGGACGTGGCGTATTTTCTTTGCCCATGCCATCCTCCCCCTGCTTAGGTTCCACAACTTTCATCGGGACAAGAGAAGAGAAGAGAGAATGCGATTGCTACATGCGACAAATCTTAGCAACTTCGGTCGTACTAGACAAATTTTTAAAACTTTTGCGGCATTGAGCTTGTGACGCAATAAGCTCTTTTAGTGAATCCATTCCATGTTTACTTGAAAAAGAGTTTCAGGGCCCCTTAAAGTGGTGCCAAGGTAGCACAAACACGTTTCAATCGCGCTGCCACGAGGCGATGGCAAGTGAAGTTCCAAGGCCTTTCTGATTATGGGGGTTAGACACAAGCGCATAAGCTTCTCAGTGGCGCTCATTAGACAGTCATCGATTTCGTTGCTGCAGCAGACATTGCACAGACAAGGCGTTTTTTCTCAATTGCAGTTAAAGCGCGTTTCGCAAGCCAGAAAAGCCCGAGCAGCAATATATACGATAATAAATTTACTATTGAGATGCAAATATTCAAATGAAAACCACCACTGAGATGCAACCACGTGAGTGGAGCATAGCCGGGCGAAATGTGCCATTCCCCATTGTAAACTCCAAGTATTTCTTTCTGTGAATCAAAGAGAAACACACAAGCAGCCTAATATTACATCTCATAATGCATAAAGTGCTATTTTTTATTATAAGTAGTTTGAATACTAGTGACTATTTGTGTCTTGACACCCTCTGGCTCATTTTAAATTTCCCACTAGTGGCACATATCTCGTTCTATATTTACATTCATTTCGTCAATTATATTAGGGCATTGCTGCTGACACAATACTGACATTTTAAAAGTCCTCGAACACTGACCTTTAGTTCCGACGAAAATTGTTTCTTGCCTTTAGTGCCTGGGTCACTTCTAAACATGCTTCAATCGTGAGTACATTCATTGTCTCCTAGGCAAGCTTAGCTGACACAGAGTTGCCTATTCCACTCTGCATACTTCCCTTTGAGGCACTGCATATCTTCCCATTTTCGGTCTGTAGAAGATTTTATCGGTTGACATGCAGCTGAAGATTTGCCAGTGATGGGACTACTCATGTGCAGAAGCCTTGAGCATGCAAAAACAGTGCAATGCAATTATCTTCACATTGGAAGATAACCTACTCTTGACATCACCTTTTATAATGAAAGTGGCACATGATCCATTGCACTTCACAGGAAACAGATACAACGCACACAGGTTCCAGTCGCACATGAAGTGAACCGACATGAACTCGCAACAGAAATGTGCTCCGCCATCACTACATGACCACGATGACTCTGTGTCTGATCCATCTGACAGGAGGACGTTGCCAACATGGTTTCATTTTGTACTAATTTTTATCATGCAGCCAACTTCTATACTTGCTTTACCCAGTGGGGGAGCACGCGCGCCCACCCTCCCTTTCCCTTTTTTACGGCAGCGTGAAAGCAGAGTTGTGGGAATACCAGCACGGCCGGCACTCACGATTCTCCCCTTTCCCTGCGCGCGGAACGGGTCTCCCCTCCTTCAGTGAGAAAAGGTATCATTCTTGTCAGGGAGAGGGAAACCGGGTCAGTGGACAAAACTAGTGTGCGGACGGCGTACGCTCTCTCTCACACCGGCCAGGACCGAAGGAGGTTGAATCCGCAACCCCCCTGCGAGCCGAGGACGACAACGACCAAGGAGTAAGCATCTACCCTTGTTTTCTGAACTATCTCCTCGTGACATTTGCGCGATATTGCTAACGCCTAGCAATAAAGTGTTGTTGTTGACCTAGCCTGTTGCCTTATTCGCCCGAACTCGTGTAGCTGGAATGAGACTAGCTATGAATAGCGAACGTTAATCGTGCACAGTACGACTGTGTGCGGCTGAAACATTAGCAAGGCTTCTGCGTCAGCCGTACATAGGACGAACCCCCCTACAACCCAAAAGAAAGTACATCACAGATTTTATTCGATTTTTCCTAAAAAGATGAGCATGAATGTTCGTTTATGCCTGCTTCAACTAAATGATTATTTGCCATCTTTTAAAACTATCTTAGACAAGGGTGCAACAGCCGAAATAGAATTTGGGGCAATTTTTGGAGCACTAAAATCTTAATTTGGAGCAACTTATGGGGGAAAAGACATTCAATTTTTTATCACGAAAAACCAAACTTGGAGCAGTATGAAAAAGAAGGCTTACATTTAGAAAAAAAAAACATTATGTACAAACCAGTCAACATCCCCTAAATCATGCAGAGTGAAGAGCACTGCTATTACAATAAAAGTAGTATTTAGAACCACCCACTCAGCAAACCTTGATAAAGCCTACAATATCATTTGCCATGCCTGTCAAATCTTCTGCCACTCTGAGGATTTAAAAGTGGATCTGCCGAGCTGCTCACCTTGAGATTCGGGAGATTTGTAAAACTGAAGAGTAGGAGTAGGAAAAAAAAAAAAACTAGCACGCAGTTTTGTTTGATTTGTTTAGGACTGCAGAAATATCATATAGTGCTTCAAATGATTGCCAGTAAGTCTTCTTAGACGTCGGCGATCATCTTAGTACTCACAATTATGCAGCGCAAGAGTAATTGAACAAACTGTACTGTGTCCTGTGATTATAGTGCTGACAGCCCCTTCAGGGTTCATAGCACCCGAGTGAAACGAAATTCAAGGGTTTTCAAAAACTTTCAAGGACTTAACAAGTACTTTTCAGGGACCTGCTCAGACCACATATGTCTAACACTTGAAACCGCAGAAAATTACATCACTTCCTACAACATAAAGATTTGCACTTTATTTGGACGGTTGGCACCATAAATGCACTCAAGTTACTATGGACTGTAGTCGCTTTTGTGTTCTCAATGTGTTTCGTACTCTTCATGCGACTTTTAAGGGCAGACTTCCCCATGAATGACACATCAAAGTTCTTCCCACATGGGAAAACTTTACCTGATGCGAGTTTGACGTATAAGGTGCAATCCATATCAGGTGCAATCCATTCCCTATAAGCACCAATGCATAACCAAGACAGCTGGTATTTGCACTTTCCCGGCATAGTTCCACCATAAGCGACGCGAATGCGAATATCCGCGCACACTTGCACAGTCTCCACGAAAAAGCCAGGTTAGCTCCGTCGTTGCTGCTGTAACCACGCAAGTGCTACCACAATTATAGTCATGGTATACTAGATGAGCAAGTACAGTGTACTACAATATTGAAATACAGCTAGAGAAATGAATTGGATTATATGGCTTGTTATCTAGAGAGCACATAGTTGCCACGCACGCAAAAAAAATCCACTAGATTATGGCTGTATGAACTTTATTGGTGAAATTCAAGGACTTTTAAGGGCCTTTATTTTAATTTTAAGGACTTTTAATTTTAAGAAATATAAGGGTTTTCAAGGCCTAGAAAATGCCATTTAGAAATACTAAGCTAAGAAATTT